CTCCATATACAAAGAAAAAAAACACCCAACTTTGAAGATTGTTCTTTCTATTTTTTATGCCCTTGTTTGCTGTATGTCTAATCACACCAGACATGTGCAATTTAAAATGCCCACACACAGTTTAAGGTCAGGTATCTCTTTTTTCAAACAACATGTATTGTTGCAAGCCAAGGTTTCTAAAGGAAAGAAAAAGTCTAGTTTTTGAAAAGATCTCTTGAAAAAGCAATCTCTGGCCTCAATCATCTTCAATATGTGTCTGGGGCCATTTTTGTGCCTGTGAATTACTTGAGTGATCCCATGCTTAAAGCAATCAAATGCTTAAAACCATTTAACAGCATCCAACATCACTTTTTCCTGTATAGAGAAGCAGATTTAGCACTCACAGTTTCTGATCACTGAGGCCTTTTTACCAGCTGCTTTAGGTATGTTGATCAATGAATTGTTCATACAGATATAATGAGCAATTGCTCTCTTGAGCTAATAATCTGAACGAGATAGAATTAAGGAGCCACTGCTTAGAATCATCACAAAACATGACTTTGATGGATTTTTTTTTGAACACAGAGGTTACTGCTGCTCCAAGCTCCACCCCACCAAATAAATTATCTAATACAGCCTTTTAAATTTGGGGTGGGGTGGGGTAACTAAGAATCATTGTGGTATAGGGTCAGCTTTGGTCCAGAAAAGTTCCAGTTCAAATCTCTGCTCATCAAATCTCACAAGGGACATAGGTAATATTGAGGGTAGTCACTTTCTGGGCAGATAGAAAACTAATAGAGATTATGTGAGATGTAGGTATGACTTAAGTATTGACAATATGGCTGCTCACGTGGGAATCACTGCTGGGAGGTTTCAGTTGCATCTTTGTGACAACTTGTATTGTCTGCAGAAACCAATCCAACCATATCAGAAAATTACCCATTTGAAAACTCTCCCAATTGGCCCAATTCCTGTCTTCGAGATATAAGTCTTGGGATGCATTGTGCCAAGTCACCTACAGACCTCTAGCCACCATTAGTTAGAGAGAACTATTCTGTGTGCTCCTGTTCTAAATGACATCCTTCTAGAATGGGAATGTGTATTTCCTATAGCTAGAAGCAATCTACATAGTGAGGACCATATTCCATTCCTGATTTCCCCCTTATTTTTATCACGCACACCCCAAAGCCACTTTTAATGGCCATTCTGAAGGCAGAGGGAAGTTGAGGAGCAGGCAGTTTTCATTATGGTGCCAGAAAAGAGCATTTCTAAGATAACAGAGACTGAATATCACCACCCCAGTACTTTCAGCTTCTATAAGGATGATAAGAGACTATAATCTAATGTAAATAGGGGTACCATACTGGGGAGGGCAATTACAAAACAAAAAAGACTATTTGTCTATTGAAGGCTAATTTCCAACAAATCTATTTTCCCTTCTCTTCTAAGGCTGCAGTATCTGGCCTGACACAAATACCAAAAGCACAAACACCTTGCTTTGATTACAACTGACAGGGAAGATATGGTAGCTTGCTCAACCCTAGTTATCCCCACTGAAAACTTCAGCGAAATTAAAGATACAGTAATGCTTTGTCTTTTGTGATTTTGGGGAGGGAGCTGCTCCTAATAGAATTCTTTTTTTAAAAGGGGCATTTTAAGTCTACCCTTTCCATAGCCACACATTAATAGAGCTAAGTTGGAAATGAGTAACTTTTATTTTCATTAAAGGCATTTGGTGGGGGGAAGCAATGGTGTTACTGGAGCACTACCTCCTTCCCATGAGAATTAACTATGAGGTCTGTGGGAATATGTGCAGCTGGAAAACTGCTTGGCTAGCTTGTTTTAACTTGAATGTTTAATTGCAGTGGGTATCAATATATTCTGTATATGTGTGTGATTGCACATACATATGTACAAATACCGTAAATATATAGGTTTCATTAATCTCATTTTCCTTCTGTTTCCTTTTTACTTAACCATTTCTCACAAGTGGATATATCGGGATAAAATAAATTACAAGAGCTAATTTGCAAGTGCTGTTGTTACTAGTTTTGAATTGCATTAATCATTAAACCCCATTTTATAAAGCAGTTTTGACCAAAACGAGACCAGACGCTATGCATTTATATACTAGCTGTTGTCCTTGCCTAGATAGTGCTTAAAGACCTTGTATTCAAAATTACATTTTCTTTGAAGGCTGTGTTTATGAAAATCTTGTTTGGTATAACTCATCATGCAAGTGGGATGTGTTGTTACTTTGAGAAGAAGGACAGGTACTCTGCTGATGATCAGAGGAACTGTCCTTTTCTCTTCCTCCACCCACTCCCTTTTAAAATATTACTGTGTAAGGCCAGGCTCTTGTATTAATAAGGGAATTGTCTCTACCAAATCCCTGATAATTAAGTCCCAAGAATGAATAAAATGAACAGCTCAAAAAGTATGGGATGAGACAGATAATAAATATTTGAATTTAAGAGTCCATTTGCTCTATTTAGCAGCCCATTTGCTGCTAAAGATAATATCGATTTATAAAAGCACACACTCGTTTTTCTGTGAAAGTTAATGTAGGAGAAAAGAACTCTTCCCATACACACATCCCAAACCTTTATTAAAGTATGACACAGACTCTCATGGAAATATATCACTCTTTCTTCAACTTGACTTTAAAAAAACCCTGCGATCCTAGCCAATCAGAAAACTTAATCCTGTATAATATGATGTCACAGTGCCAACTACATAGCACAATAGGGTTGTGTTGAGATCACAGAGGAATGTTCAAGCTCCCACTGATTGGAGAGAGAAAATAGGATACAACCTTTTTGTGCCAGGTAGTCCCTAATATCTACTGTTTGTCACACCCACAAATATGTACTACTATTTCATGCCAAGACCTTTTAGTTTTGGACAGGAATAAGAGCACAGTTGGTATAAACACCATGATCTTCTCATATAAACATTGTAAATGGGGAATCTGGGATTCTATAAACCCATGAAAGGACACATTTGTGGGTGTGATAATATTCCTTAAATGTATTCTCTCACATTTCAGCTCAGCACTGGTCCCTGAAACGCAGTTTTTAACACAGAATTAAATCTGTCTGATGCCACAAGAGATGCTGTTGGTGAATAGCACAGGCTGGGAGTGAAAGTCCCAGTTCCAAAGATATTCTCCTCACTGAAACAAAAGAACAAAATATGTCCCTTTTCTGTCAAATACGCAAGGCGTTATTGATAGAAAATTTCACATGTGGTTCTCTCCGATCTCAGCAGTGAAAATGCAATAACTATCAAGTTGATGTCTTCCCACAGTTAGGCTTCTCTGCTTACGGCTACCTCTGCTTCAGCAGGAAAAATACTGGTTGTCTAACAATCAGGCAGAATTCTGATTATCACTCAAAAGAACAAAGAGGAAGCCTATCCTGCACAAACAACATTTGGTATGCAACTACACATTCAGAACAACCGAAACCCAACCCAGCATTTCTCCTATCAGACACTGGCTCTAAAATCCTGCATTAGGGAGTCTTTCCAATCCAGCTGATACAGAAATGGTGGGCAGTCACGTTTTGTGGTTTAATGAGGGTTGTTAGGTGAATACAGTAACCATCATACATGTGTGGACACATACATACCCAGTTTGTGCCACAGCCTGAGATACATGGAAGCATAACAAGAGGGGCACTTAGCACCATAGTGTGAGGAAAATTCAGTGATAAATGAACATGGCACAGTGCAGAAGGCAAAACACAAGGTACAAGCTCCATCTCTGAAGAGGTTATTGGGTTTCAAGGACTCTGTTAAGTGTCTTGCTAGCAGAGAATCAAACTTTACTCTACTTTCTTTCCCCCATAAGGAGAAAACATGCCAGAATCACTAGCCATACCTTACAACAGTCTTCCCCAACCTAATGCCCATAGCTGTGTTCAGTCTACCACTCAAAATTCCCAGTCAAGTTTTCCCTCCCAAAGCTAATGGTGGTTGCTAAGTTGGGGAAGAATGCCTTATAGGAATCTGCTGAGCATGGCTAGTATGATAGATAAGATGATGAGAGACTAGTGAGTATGGCTTGTGCTTACTCTTTCCAACATGAAAATTGATAGTAGGCTTACAGGGTTATTGTGAAGTTCTTGTAGTAAATATAAAGAATGGGAGACATGCTCAGCATTCTAACAGTAAGACTTTGTATGTCTTGCTACACAAGCACCATTTGATCTTAAGATAGGAAAATAAAATAGTGATTATTTTTCCCAAGAGGATACAGACTCTAAGCATAGTATCTGGATAGTTTCTGGTTGTTGTAGAGAAGTATATGTCAATTAATCTCCATGGTAATTGGAAGGAAGAAATGGAAGAGTCCTATACAGGCTACCCCAAATTGCATTCCATTGTCATGCCAAAACACTTATCAGTTGAGTTGAATTCAATACAATACAGTTTTAAAAATATGGATATCCTATGCTTATTCCTTAAATCTTATATCAGTACAGTATCTTGTTTTTCTGTGGTTGTCTGTTGGATCCAAAACTATTGCTCTACTTCTCCGTTCTTTCCCATTGCTCATGCCTCAGCGTACATGGCTGTGCCAATTGGTCCTGAATTTCCAGTTCCCAACATGCTTCAGGCATAATCTTGACATCCCGGGTCCTTTTTGCAGTGAAGTTCAACTATAGAGAATGTGGTCTCCATTATCCCCATCGCTACAGGTGGCCAGATCTGACCAGTCAGTCCAGTGCTTCACTAAGACGGCAAAATAGCACCAATAATGGAGCTGCAACAAGAGAGGGCCCTGGCTCAGTCTGAACCCTGTGCAACTCCCCAAGAGTCACACCCTGAGGGACCTTGGCCGCATAAATAGGAGGCTGTCATCAGGTTAAACACAACGGCAGGTCTTTGCAAGGCTGACTCTAGTCCTGCACCCCCCCACCCCCCCACCCACCAGTGCAGAGAGAAAGGGCTTTTAGTTCTCTCTTTTCTAGAGGTGGTCCAACATGGTCTAGAGGGAGTGTCCATCTTTGGAGGGCTCAGCCACTGAAGCAGACTGGGCCGAGTTCAAAGCCAAACTTTTGATTGGTATCTCCGAAATCCTGAACAGCCACATCAATCAATGGTAGATGCTCCACGTGTTGCGTCACCATTTGTAGAACTGTCCGCTCCTGACCTTTGCGTACCTGAAAGTAGAGAAGATAACTTCAAAAGCAAAATCTTGAAGATGTGAAATAATGGCTGCATCAGGGTTTGAAAATGTTTCATCGGGGGTTTCAGCAAAATAGTAGATCAAACAAGGTTGAGAAAGCATAAACATCCCTTAATTTGGCAAGCATGGACCAAAGTGGCAATGGCTCTAAATTCAGAAACGTGTGGATATTTTTCTCAGAATAGAATAGAGAGGAATATTTTATTCTGGTCTTTTAACATGTCTCCACTCTTATGGCTCATATGAGAGTTGCAAAATACTGAAAAGAAAGATGAATGAAAGGGAAGAAGTCATTCAAAGGGTTTTTGGAGCAGATGGTTTTCTCTCATGATAATTTTGGAATACTCAAAGTTCCATCCCGTGATGGTGATCTCACAGGTCAATACCTTCACTTTAAGATCCAGGTGAAATCACTGTGATCTGCAATTCACAGAGTCATTTCATATTGTGGGGATGAAGATCAAGCAATACTGAAATGGTCAAGAGATACAAAAGTTAGAAGAATGCTCTCTCACCTGACAGCCATCATACACGGCATGGATGGGAGTTTCTGTGCTGTTGTGCATCAACTCCACATCATTGAAAGCCCGAAAATGCAGAGCCTTCATGTGGCTGCTGGTGTTGGCTTCATACCAAGCAGCCATATTTTGGCAGAGGAGGGTAAAGTTCTGCCGGGCAACAGCACTCAGCAGGCGTAGGAATGTGAGTTGAGTGACCAGCACAGGATTGCCATCTGCATCCACATAGGAGAACTGGCAAGGAGAAGGGGAGAGAAATGATGGGTTAGCAGAAAACCACTATGTTCCTTCCAGTCTACACTGCAACCTCCTCACAGATAAAGTCACAGACTGGCTATAATTACACTAAGCCTTTTATGATCCATTTGGCTTTGAATCCAGCAATTATACTTTGTAAACAATGGTTTGGGTGCATTGTCTGAACCCGGCAGCTGCCAAAAGAGCCAACACAGTCCTAGGCTGCATTAACAGAGGAACAGGATCAAGATCACATGCATTGTTAATATCACTTTATAATGCCTTGGTAAGACAACACGTGGAATATTGTATCCATTTTTGGTCACCACAATATAAAAAAGTTTTTCAGACTGTAGAAAGAGTGCAGAGAAGAGCAACAAAGATAATTAGGGGACTGAGGGCTAAAACATATAAAGAATGGTTGCAGGAACTGGGTATGTCTAGTTTAATGAAAAGAAGGCCTGGGGTGACAAGATAGCTGGGTTCCAATATTTGAGGGGCTGCAACAAACAAAAGATCTGAAGGCAGGACAAGAAGCAACAGATGGAAACTGATCAAGGAGAAAAGCAACCTAGGACCAAGGAGAAATTTCCTGACAGAAGAAGAGACTGGACAAGCATTTTCCTGAAATGATATGGGGTTTCATTTAGGATATAGGTGGGGTTGGACTAGAACAGTGGTCTCCAACCTTGGCAACTTTAAGACTTGTGGACTTCAACTCCCAGAGTTCCTCAGCCAGCAAAGCTGAAGTCTACAGGTCTTAAAGTTGCCAAGGTTGGAGACCACTAGACTAGAAGACCGCCAAGTCCCTTCCAACTCTGATATTCTGTTATTCAATCAGTTATAAATCATACCTGAAGAAAGGTGGCTTGGCTTTGCATATGGATTTGATACTGTATTGGGCCATGACTTTGATTAACAGAAAATGGGAAATAGTACTGTATCCCCTTTCCAGATTTTCTCTAGGCATAAAGCAATCTTGACAGAATGGAAAAGGGTTACCTTTTTGCCTCTTTTGAAAGTGCTGAACCAACTTCCTGGTTGCTCCTTGTTCCAGGCGGCAAGTCGTACCTAAAGGCATAGATTTCATATTGTTGCTCATCTTAGGGTTTTACATTCAGGTTCCTTAGCCAAGTAACCTGTTTGAGGTACTAGGGCAATTTACATAGCATCTGATCTTTTTCCTGATCACCTCTTTAATGGTCAAGTGAGCTACTTACAGCCTCAAATTTCTTGTCAGGGAATAAGCAGGTTTCTCCACCAGCTGTGAAATTACAGTAAACTTTGAAGGCATCTCGGCTGCATCCCTGGTTTGGATCAATCCAGTATTCACCTAAAGAATAGTATGTGGATCAGTGCAGAAAGGGTTAGGGAAACCATGAGGAAGTAAGCCCCTCACAATCAAAATCTTGCAAGTTTGGCAGACTCTCCCTCTTCCCCAGTTATCAAATGCAACACACAGATCCCTTTGGTTCTCATAATTAGGGTAGATGGCACATTCTATTCTGAACCCACTGCTTGGAGTTTCACCTTGAAACTCACCATCTTTGAGATGAGCATGACAAAACTGAAGCTCCTTGCAGACCCTGGCTGGACTATCCAGAGTGCCCAGTGGGCATCGCATTTGCTCCACCTCATCACGTAGAGAGCTTAGAGCTGCCAAGACTTCTGCCAGTCCATCAGCATCAGGATCAATATCCCCTTCCCCTGGAGCATCCCCCTGTTCTTCAATCTCCCAGTCCTGGCGGCTTGTGCGCCCACTTTCCATGGGCATTGGATTCTGCAATTCAGCAGGGCGGCCCTAGAAGCAGGAAAATGAAAAACAGAAAGAAGATTCAATAGTTTGTGTACACATATAACATAAAGTTAGACCTGATTAAGTAACCCGGGTGGGAGATCACTAGAAAATTCCAAGGCTGCAACCAGGCAGAATGTTTAAAACTAAAAAATGGAAGAAAGGAATCATAAACCACTTCTGAATGGTTATCATGTACATGTCCAGAAAATGTCAGGAATCAGACATGAATCAAAGGAGACCTTTTAAATTTATGTTGCCAAAACTCAAAGCAAACCCTTCATTTTTAACATTTCTTTGAATTTTGTAATGTGTAAAAAATGTGGATTCATGCAGTATTTACATTGCTAGAAATTTGCACAAAGTTGTATGCATTTTAATATCTATCTCTCCCAATGTGGGAATTTCTGTATGCTTTTATAACCATAACATGTATTATTAAGAGAAAATGTAATAAACATGCATGCAATGGGAGAAGATGGCTAGAAAAATGCACACAGACACAATAGGCATACCGTATCCTAGAGAAAGCTATATAGAACAAAGGTGAATTTTGTGTAGACCTTGTAGTAAACCATTCACTTACTGGTGGTCCTGGTGTCCCTGGTGCCCCTGGATCACCTTTTGGTCCAATAGGTCCCTGCAGGAAGATGGATCAATAACTTGGTACCAATGCACATATACCTTTTTACCACTGCTCATATCTGGAGCATCTGAGAATAGCAGTTTAGCAATATCTGCAGAGCCCAACTCTGTTTGAGTAACTAATGTCAGGAGCTAAGCATCATAAGCACTATTCAGAGCCTCCCTTAAGTGCACATCTCTTCCCATGACTAGAATAATAATACTAATGATACTACTACTACTACTACTACTACTACTACTACTACTACTACTACTACTACTACTACTACTACTAATAATAATAATAATAATAATAATAATAACAATACCCATTGTCATCAGGGTACTTGGCACCATGTCCAAGAATTTTGCAAAATACATCAACAAATTGCAGTTTCCTGCAATAACAAAAAAACTGCAAAAAACTGTGCTACTTGGAATATCTTATATTTTAAAAAGGTACTTGGTTGATACCTAGGATGCTGGCAGCAAACTGTATCAAGCATTAGCACCAGTCACTGGTATTTGTAATGCATTTTTGAATGTTCAGTTGGCTGAGTTTCATGTTTAATGAATAAAATATATAATAATAATACATTAAATATCAACCAACTGTACAATTTGCGGTACATTGGTTGCCCCCTGGATTATAGCTATTATCTTTCACTGACCCAAAATTTAAGTTCCTTTGATACAGTTTTCAAAACTGTACTGTACAAGACTTTCAAAATTAAAGCCCTAAGAATAACAGCTAATATGTAGACAACTCTGGTTTAATCTCTTCCTCTTCGTGAGCCCTGCAGCATTGGTTGGGACTTACCAAAGACCCTTTGTTGCCTTTTTCTCCCAGAGGGCCCTACGGAAAGACAGAAAGGGTCAACAGGCGAAAGGAGCTCCTGGATGTAAGAAGAAGATGGCAAAATAGCATAAGAGATAATATCCTTTTGCAAGGAAACTAAAGAAATAAAGACAATGTCAGAAAGTATGGATAGGCAATAATGAAATAGTAATAGTGATGAAATGCTGTAAGAATAAATGTTTTTAGATAACTGGGGAAGAACAGATGAGAGAGGCACAGCCACATAAAAGAAAAAAAATAACTAAGGTGTAGAAGAGGGAGACAAATGTTGCAGAGTTCCAGAGAAGTTCTCATATCAGAAAGCTAAAATCCTGGGCATTACACAGTGGCAGCTTTTGAGGAATTATTTTGGAAGCGATTTAGAATTTTGCATGAAATACTTACTGAGTGGCCAGGAGATCCAGGTGGGCCTGGAGGACCATGAGGTCCAATATTGCCCTTAGGAAGAGGAAAAAGAGTATCAGTATTGTGTGCCTGACTGGGAAGTCCCATCTCAACCAACTTCCATCTACAGAGTCTGTTCCCATCTCAACCGGCTTCCATCTACTCACAGAATCGCCTTTAGTGCCCGGTGTTCCCTGGTTCCCTGGCAGCCCCTGGTCACCTTTTTCACCCATCTCACCTGGAGGGCCAATCAACCCAATGAGTCCTGCATGACCCTAGAAGGAAAAGAGGAACTGCTTAGTTAAAAAAAGAGCACTCTGATAAAGCTGGGAGAGGAGAACTTTGAAACCACTGTATAATAAAAGGTGTAAGAAATAGGTATGGGATACTTCACATGATGGAGGCAAGAGATTCTGCACTGTCATTTTGACCAGAAGGAGTGCTGATCTATTTTAATTTTCTGCTGCCTCACTTCAGGAAAAGTGGCTTTTGTCCAGCAAAGTAGCCACTCTGTGGCTGAGAGGCAGCTTCTCTTCATTGGAGTATTTCAGTCAAAGCTTTTGAAAGCAAAAGGCCATTTGAAAGTTCTACATGCCCCATCCCCATCCCTACACATAACATATATACACATATTTCTGGATCTTGCTAGAAAAGAGAATTTGTCCAAAACGAAATACAGGCTGTGTTCATACAATGAATGTTAACCATGCTACTGCTGGGTCATGATGTAACCTGATAAGCCAGTGGCAGCTATGCCTTCATCAAAGAGCAAGAAGCTGAGGCTATCAAGAAGCTGCTTTGTTGTTGTTGTTGTTGTTTGGGGAAAATGTTGCTGGGGGGAAGACAGATAAGAGGATCCAGAGCAGTCCTGTATTTGCAGGATCTTCTAGGAATTTGCTTTTCAAATCAAGAAGCAAGAAGAGCAGGTTAGCACTCTCTTAAAATATTATTATGCTCAATGTAATTGGCTGGGGAATGTTTAGCTTAATCGAAAGCAACTATGTTTCATATTAAAATTGGGGCACAATGCACAATTGCTAATGTCTCAGTTGACCAAGGTGGAACCTGGTTGAGTTTCTATTAACTGTCTTATCTTTTTTGAACAATACTGCTGAACAAGAGGAGTTTAGGTTTTTTGTGGCTAAAACTGACCTCTAAAAATCCACTCCTACTGACTTTGTCCATACAATTGCATACACAACACTTTGCTCCAATTAAGCATGACATGAGAACAGAACCAACTATTATTCATTAGATAGACAGGAAGCCCAACACTTTTGCTTAATACAGGTAGTTTTCTGGTCACAACCCTAATTGGAATTGGAATTTCCATTACTAAGTAAAGTAGCCATTAAGTAAAACATCACATGACCATGCCACTTAATGGCAGTGGTTTCAGCAGTCCTGGCTGCAATGGTTAAGTAAGAGCTGCATGGTCATTTAGTAAGGACCTCATACTCATCTATAATACTGTCTTGTTCTCTCTTCTTATGATCCATACAACATCCATTCATTTTTTTAAAAAATAATAATAACTTGAGCTGAGAATTTCAATAGTGCATTGTTCTGTTGGTCTTATATGAGTTAACAGCATCCTAAAGTAGTCCCGTTTGATAGTTGGTGAGCTCCCCTCAAGTACACGTAGCACTGAATACCTCCAGATGTGCTAAACAATCTCCTCTTTAACCTAGCTGAATTATAGCAGTTCTGGGCAGGGAGGCAAATATAAAATTCTTGTTGAGCTGCTATCTAAGGATCATCAGCTTCCTGCATCATAAATTATTCAAGACCCCATCTAACAGTTACAACAATTGAAAAGGAAGGTTCAAAATTTAACAAGGTAGCTGCAGAAAGAAGAAGCATTTCTAGGACAAGAGATGATTCAATTGAAGATTGTAAGGTCTTTCATTTTCTGCCCAAGCAAGAATATATATGTTTACCTTCTCTCCCTTGTAGCCAGGATCACCTTTGAGACCAGGGAGCCCTGTAGGACCCTATGAAGAGGAGAACAGCTGCATTAAGAATGGAGTTCAAGAACCACTGCCTGGAAGCCTCATGATAACAGAATAACAAGAGTTGGAAGGGACCTTGGGGGTCTTCTAGTCCAGCTCTCTGCTCAGGCAGGAAACCCTATACCATTTCACGTTTTAACCTTCAGTCCCCTAATCATCTTCGTTGCTCTTCTCTGCACTCTTTCTACAGTCTCAATTTCTTTTTTAAATCGTGATGATCAAGTGTGGTCTTACCAGCATGATCAACCAGTGAGGCCCTCTAGTGTAGGTATAATCAACAATTTCAGCATTTAGATTTTTTTTTTTTTGTTTAAAGTTTTGTTATTTTTTTTCCTGTTCATGCAAATAACCATTTGGATCTTTTTGTTGGTTTTGAAGTTTGCGAAAGTTTAAAGGCCTACATTATTCTTTGCAGAGGCTTAGATCAGTGGTGTCAAACTGGCGGTCCATGGGTGGATGCGTCATGCACAGGCCACACCCACCCCAGCTCTGTGAAGGGAGAAAACATCGTGATACATCATGTGATGGCAATGTGACGTGGCGAGTTTGACACCCATAGATTAGACATTCATTCCAGTTTTCCCTGATCCAGATGAGTAATGGTTTCATCCACTTCAGGTGTATTGCTATGTAATATGCTGTGTAAGGCTGAATAAGGTCTTTGGGCCAACAGGAATTGACCACTCTTACAATAAATGATCATTTAGAGCTCGAGTCAATAGCAAGCCACAATCCAATGACACCAGAAGAGTAGGACTATTACTCATTTGTCCTCCCATATTCTGATAACTGTTTCCTTCATATAGGTTCATCCGCATCTATTCTTTGGTATGGCATCAGTTTATAATTCAATCCTGGCTAATTCATTAGAATCATAACTAGTAATTCCCTCTGGGAATTGAGCTTTAATCAACCATGAATTTTGAAGTAATAACTGCTCAATGAATCAGAATAAGCAGCTGCTTCTCTCACTTTTCTTTGAAAAATATTTTGGAAAGCCTACTGGGATTTTTTTATTTTTTTGTTGTTAGAAGGTCCTCCTAACATTGTCCCAGTGATAAATACCCATGTAAGACCAACCCTAATTGAGGGGAGGGAGATGAAAGTGATTGTGAAAGAGTCTCAGCATTGTTAACTGACAATCTCAGGACAAAACCAGTTGTTGTGCAGAGGCCATTTCTTTTTGCTTACCATGGGACCTGGGGGTCCTGCCTGTCCTGGAGCTCCCAGTAGACCAGGTTCACCCTAGAGTTGAAAAAACTTGCAACATTAGTAACAAAAATTAAAAGACTTTTGGAGCTAAAATGTACATCTGGGCAAACTCTTCTCTACATCATCTCCTCTCTGTGAAAAAGGTTTTGATCTGTACCCGTGCAAAGCTTTGAGGGAGTCGTTTTAGTTGCTGAGTCATGACTCTTCGCAACCCCATGGATCATAACACACCAGCCCTCCCACCCTTCGTTGTCTCCCGGAGTCTGCCCAAACTCAAAGTCATTTGCCCTACCTCTAAAAGCCAAACAGCTGTGTTGCTTCATTCCACCCACCTCTCCATCAGTTCCAAGAGGAGAGCAGCATATACAAAAGTATATTGGAATTAATGGGATTGATAAAAGAAGCTTTGAAGCCACACAACAAATCAGTAAGGGGAGCTGCAGCACCAGTTGTCTTGAAACATCTTAGCAAAAGAAAGCCTGACAGCCTTGCATATTAAACTTTTGTATTCACTTTCACAATAATGACTCTTAAAAAGAAATTATCCTTTTTATGTGTCTTTCATTTTAAAAAAATCTCAACAATGCTATGGATATATGTGGAGTAAAAACAAATTTATGTGGTAAAGTATGTGGGGAGAAAAAGCAAGTTTTCAAATCACCTTGTAATTTTCTTTTGACAAATAATAAGCTGGCTGTGCAATATTATGTGGTCACTTGCCATCATGTGTTCAGTTAATCTCTCAAAATATATTAAGATGGGCAGCTATTTTCCCCTGCCCTTATTGTAGAAGGGGTGAGAAAGAAAGAAAGAAAGAAAGAAAGAAAGAAAGAAAGAAAGAAAGAAAGAAAGAAAGAAAGAAATATTTGCAAAATAGCTGCTCCTTTCCTTCTCCTTGTAAACTCCACCAAGTGACAAGACAATTCGGAACTGTCCAATAAAACTTTTGCTGTATAGTTCCAATCCAAACTGAGAATTGGTGTTAGAAAATGGCTTAGGCAAAGCATAACTACTAGGTTCATATAAAATAATTAAATCCAGGATTTTGTCCAATCCTGTTCTAGTTCTTGGTACTTCTGGATTTATTAGAAACAGAAATCAACATGTGAAATTTTTTCAGCTGTGAACATTCCCCTGCAAATGTTTAGAAACATGCTCTTGAGACAATTTTTTCTCTTAATATACTCCTTTTCATTTTTTTAAAAAATCTGATAACAGCATGAGGCATTGAGGAAGTATAGAATTTAAGAGACATGTATTTGGTGGAAATGTCATAAAGCTCAACTCAGCTGGAAGATGATCCATTATAGGATGAAACATGTCCTGAATGTTAACTTTCCTTTTCTACCAATTACTGAGCTGGTTTTATATATATTTGTCACAAGGATGCTTTATGCTTTTTACTTGAAATCACATTTAATCCCTTTAAAAATGACAGTTTATATTCTGGGAGAATGTAATATAGTCTAAAGTACATTATATTTGGAAAAAAAGTTGGATGTTAGTGTCAGTTTAACTTAGAAACTCTTTATGGAGTACAATTCTGTACATGTCCTGCCATTACATCTGGGTTTTGGGTTCTCTTAAACTACAGATTCTAAACACTTTTCATTATTTTTATAATATAGATATCTAATTATTGATTTCAATAATATTTAAATACAAGTTTTGAAAGTACTAGAATAGTAAAATGGTCACGATACTATCTTCATATTTGTTTTAATCCAAGCTTATACATCAAGATAAAATTAAGATATTTCTTCAAGTTGAATAGTTTGTGTTGTCTTTTAATTTTATCTTTATGTTACTCTGCAAAGTTTTCCATGTAACATCTGTACTTTATAATTTTTGTCTTTTTCCTCTTTTTTCTTTTAAAATAAACAAAGAAGTGAACAATTAATAAATTAAAGTTTTCTTAACTAAGAGGTGCAGATCATGATGTGCTGGATCGTAATTTGCTAAGAGGAAATTCTTCAATCATTACTCACTAAGCCCTGTAAAATAAATGGCCTATAAACTAAAGGAACAATATGTGTGCATCTAAGGGAACTCCATGCTCAGCTGGAGCTTTCTTTGATGTCTTCACTGCTTCATTTCCCTCAGATGACAATGTGCACAACTTTAAAATGCTGTGTGCCTCCCTTCTGATGCACCAAAAGCTCTTTTGAACTACAGTCACTCATTTGAAAAGGATCTAATAAATGACCCTGGAGTTAGTCCATTTATTCCTTAAACCGGACTTTGTTCCAAAGAATATAATTTTTTCCCACCACCTTTCCAACCTTATTATTCCTTGCCCAGGTTTCCTAGCATTAGAAAGACATTTTCTAATTTTTCAACTAAATCCACCTGCTAGGAGTTCAAAGATCATTGCTTCTGGTTCTCTATTTTTAGACTGAAGAACAGAGACTCACCTTCTCCTCAAACTTTTTTCACATTATAAAGTAACTTGATTTTCTGCCTTGGAACTTTATTGCTAATGTTTGCAATTTTTCTCCATGCAACATGATATTGCATTAATTTGCAGCCTATTCTTCTTCATCCCTCTGTCAACCGTTTGCCAAGAACGGAAGATACTTACTGCTGCACCAGGAATTCCACGCAGACCTTCTGAACCAGGTTGGCCTGGAGGTCCTTGCGGGCCCACAGGCCCCATTTTCCCCGAGGGACCATCTATACCAGATTCACCCTATGGGCAAAGAAGGAAAGAGAGAGGGGGAAAATATCCATTTATCATATAAATATTTAATTATTTCAAGATTGTCCAATGGTTAGTCACTATTTTCATGGAGCAGATAGCTTTAAAGAATACTAAGCTAATTTATTTCACTTTGCTTTTGGAGCTGAAGGATAGAGGTGGCTATTATAGAATGATTTCTTGTATAGTATGCTTTGCCCTTCTCCTATGCATACATATGTACAGAAATTAATTAGATTGACAGTTGAATGTTACTTCCTCCAATATACTTTGTGGCAGAGGCTGCAACATGGTGTTTCTCAGTCTTAGCAATTCTAAAATATATGAACTTCAACTTCCAGATTTGGGAGTTGACAAAGATTACACATCTTAAAGTTGCTAAGATTGAGAAACAACATGTGCGTCTTCCAACATAGAGAAGTCGTTGCTACTTTTCAGAATCTTCTGAGATATTTGCCTTGCCTTGGTCCAATCCTGCAGGAAACACTGATAGTGGAAAAGGTGGAAGAAAAACAAACAAAAGAAAGAGAAACTAGCATTCCTTTATTGGATACCAGAATAAAATTAGCTTGGTTTCTATCACCTTGATCCCTTTCTCACCCTGTCGACCTTCACGTCCAGCTGGCCCAAAAGGTCCCTGGGGAAAAAAATGAAGTCACTGCATAAATCACTTGGATTAAGATCTTGTGGTTTAACATTTCTGCCTTTCTTCTACAGAACACTTAGTTCTATTCATACCAGGGGTGAGCTGCTCCTGGTTCTAACTGGTACGGTAGAAGAGGTTCCAGAAATTTGCCGTACCTTTTAGAACCCGCTCCTCTGGTAGGACAGTAGTGATTCATACTCTCAATTTTATTAAATAAACATGTAAAATTCTATCCTAACCATAAGCTTATACAAAAATTAAACAACATGCTATCAGTTTGAAAAAAAATCAGGCACATCACACATAATAAAATGGGCAGTATATTAGAGAGGAGTCATCCCCATGGAGTGGAAATATATACACAAATAATAAAAATAATAAAATATCTCTAAAAAGTACACATGGAGTCTTATGAATAGTATTCAGACAATTAAAGGTAAGTTGAGAATTCATATACATTTGCTTAATTTTAAGCAAAGCCAATAAAAGAATTCAAGTCAACCTCAACCCCCTTTGTAAGTGGGACATCATTATGCCTTTTTTAAAAGGATTTTTTTCATTTAAAACAGCTCAGAAATACAATCTTTATTTTAGATTTGGAACAGGAAAGGAAAGTTACATATTTTCAATTTCATCTAACATGGCATATATGTAATTACAAATTATATGGCATATTCTGGAATCTAAATGAAGCTAACCTAAAATTATAAAACCAGCTTGCATAGAGCCAATGTGTCCTTTTATCAGAAGGACCAGTATCAGAAGAAGTTAAAGTGGAGAGCATGTCCCTCATTCTGGAATTTTTGTTAAAGCAGAGAAGATAACATTTATTTCCAGGTGAGTTTCTGGTGTGAAATTGCAAATGCATGATTTCCTCTAAGCGACCTTAGATGCATTTTAATATTGGTTCAGCTTGTTTACAAGAAATATTTTCTACTTATGGAAGAGAGTTGGGCTGGAAGGTAAGTTGATCAAACAGAATTTTCATGGAAGCATCCATTGTGTTTTATTGGCTGTATCCATTGGGCTATATATACATACATTTTATTCTGGCAGATTTTAAAAAATCCTTTAAAAACATTGCACAAATGTTTTCTTTCATGACTTTTTTTAATATAAGGAGCCTTTGTATATAGCTTCTCATAAAGTGGGTTTTCAATATAAATTCCCCAAGAACTTCATTTTGTTTTATTTTTGCAAATTACCTTGATGTTTTCCTTTATTGCATAATTATCCAGATGCAGGCTTTTTTGAAAGGAAGTTTCCCTCATTTTTAAAAAAAAAAAAACAAATCAAATTACCATCGTTTGGCTAAGAGGGCTCTTGTGCCAGAAATATCACATCTTTAATCTATGCCCAATTTTCTTTTAGCTGCTTTATAGCCCATCAAGAAAGATGTTAATAAGACTTTCAAGTAATATATAAACATAGCATTTCCTTGTGTCTGGTTACTGTGGGTTGTGCTTTGCAATCTTTTGCTTTGAATCATGAAAGGGGTGATTCCATAGGTGTTCCTCTGTTATTTTGATATATTTGTCATCAAATTGAAAGTAGATAGTGAAGTAGAGATTGATGAGGTGCACGAATATGAGTATTTCAATCTTAGCGTATTTGGTTAGGCTGAGTGTGTTGTGTAATACATCGATTTTTTTCTCTACCTTCAGATTTATGGATACAAAGAGTGCTGTGGCATCAAATGAAACCATATTTTCATTTTCTTCTATTTTTTAGGCCTTTTGATTTTTTGGGGAGGTACTGTAGTGGGAAGTTGATAGAATATTCACTCCCCTCTGTGAGATGTCTGAGCATTTTTGTTCTTTAGCTATGTTGCATGTTGGGGTCCCTGATAAAGATACAACTGGATTAAAAGAAGTGTCAGACTTATGTATTTTGGGACATCTATAGAAGCATGGGGGGATGGGTCTACTGTTTTTCATCCATCACTGTTCTTCTTTCGTGAATTCTTTTTTTTGTTAGGCCATTAAGGGTTTTCTTGACCAGGTCATCTAGTTTCTCTATTGAGTTCAGGCTTTATGGAATGTAGATTTGTTTGTTTTCCACATCTTTGGGTTTTTGTGTATATTGTGTGCTGTCCATGATAACTGTATTTCAGTATTTGTCTGCTGATGGTGATGGTTTGGTTCTTCTTTAGATTTTTGGGAGCTGCTCAGTCCTCTGCTTTGAATTGTTTCTGATTCTGTACTTTGATCCATGGGTTTTATTGTCTGTTTTATGTTTTCTTGAGTCTCTGTGACAGGACCTGTCCCTTTAAATCCTGTTTCTAAGGTTGAATTCTAATTGTTTAGCATTGTTTATGCAATGTCTATACCTTTCACTGCAGGTGAGAACTGCCTCCTCTGGTTTTGCCAGCTGCCTGGGGCCCTGAGGGGGGCGCTCACTGCTAGAAGTGGCTGATGGGATAAAAAGACCTTGTCCCTGTCCTGTCTGACTTTTAACACTCTTAGTTTGGTTTTAGTATATTTAGTTCTTAATAATAGTTTAACTTTGTGTTGTTTTAATCTTTTAACTGTGTTTCACTTGTTTTATAACCAGTAAGACATCTAGAGTGACCTTGGAGGGGAGATGCAGAATAAATAAGTAAATAAATTAGATAGATAGATAAATGATAGATAGATAGATAGATAGATAGAAAGAAAGAAAGAAAGAAAGAAAGAAAGAAAGAAAGAAAGAAAGAATGATGATAGACAGAGCTTTGAAGGACATTGTTCTGCAATGAATTGTGGAGGACTGAACATGTTGATTACTCATTTAGGTTCTTTGATTCCTGGGGATTAGCTTGAACAGTTTGTTTTTGAGTTTTGTTTCCCTTTTTTTCAGCTTGTCTTAAGAGATGTTGTCTTGATGGTGGTTGTCAGCATTTTTGTGTGTTCTGGACTCACAATACGACCCAGTTGTTCTTGAAGTTATTTAAGGAGTGCCAGTATTTGTTTAATCTGGGGTGAACATCCATGATCCATAGCTGCATCACTTTTTGGCCACTTTGTGCTGTTTATTGTGCTGTTTATTGGAGATTTGTATCTGATACTGGGAAGCAGACCATACTGCCGTTGGCATTGCTACAGAAAGAACAGTTGTTCCTTGGAGGTTTGCTTATGTAAGTCCCAACTTACCCTCTTCCCTGGTGGCCCAGGAGGACCTACTTCCCCAAAAGCTCCAGGTGGACCCTAAACAAAATTAGAACAATAAAACAAAAAGTATTATGTCTATGGACATCATTTGGGAAGGCACGTGTTGTAGTGCAGAGAAGTTTTCCTGATCCCATAACATGGTCTAATGTAGATCAATCACACACACACAAACACACACAAACACACACACACAAAATGTCCCTGAGTACAATGAAATGTAATTATCCTTGATTGGATTGATTTAAGTTTCCTGCTATGTATAAATATGCCACTACACGTGAATGCAGTGTATCCACTTGTGACAATCATTATTTGGATCAGTGGATGTGACTTTTAAGTATACATTAATATTAATATTTTAAGAGACAACTGTATATTATGCAACATTCTGACATCAAAATGCTTTTAACATTTTGATGGGTTTCAACTGTTTTCATTTTAGGGTTCTCATATTATTCATCACAATAATAGCAGTAAAATACATGATATTGATTTATCATGGTGATATTGATTTATCATGGTTTCCCCTGGTTTGCCTCTAAATTCTGGAAATTTCAGTTAACATAATGTTGAAAATGTATTTGTTGTCTCTTTTAGAGAACTTTAATTCTAAGGTTTCATTAATTTATTTTATTAAATTTAGACATCTCCCTGGCTCCCAAATCCCACTTTAATTTTTTTTTTAATTTTTAAATTCAGGGGAGGAAACAAATAGTCAACTCCATTTGCATATATAGTGAGCATGTAGATCCAATATATAAGGAGGGGATCTGAACTGTCTGTAACTAACCAGGAAAAAAGTTAATAATTGGTGAAGATTCCACCAATGAGTACCATCTGTGAAAAAAGCAAATTCATACCAGGCAACCTTTGAAAAGGAATGGAAAATAAAACTGGCAATATTGGCAATACAATCTTTATGTATTACATCCAAATCTAGAATAATGCATCATTCTGGTCACCAATTTTGAAAAATGGTAATAGAGATGGAAAAAGTACAGAAGAAAGCAATCAAAATGTGTGTGAGGGAGACCGGGTGACTACTTTTCACATGTGGAAATATTATAATTTGAGATTATTTAGTTTGGCAAAGAAGGATAATAGGGAAAATACGGTCAGGATATATAAAATAATGCATGCAGTGGAGAAAATTGACTTTTATATATATGAACCTAACCCACTATTCATTTTCAAGATGATCAGCAATATGTGAAGCACAGAAAATATATAAGAAATAGAATGGAAAGGAAACCCAAGGATATAAAAATAAGAACAAAACAAAGGGAAATAAAGCTAAATTTAATTCACATCATACTTTTTTTACACTCTTCTGTTCTTGTTTCAACCATGTCCCCAATCACTACATATGTTTGTTGTTTAGACCTCATCTCTCTTATTTTTAAAGGTCTTGTCAACTCCATTCAACAGCATATATCCATTTTGCAGTTCAATCCTGATTTTCTCTGTATGATCAAACCGACTCAGTGCGCTTCTCTTGTATCAATCACCCACTTTTGTATTCAAATCACATTCACTGAGCAGTCATTTGTTATTAACCCCATCTTTTTCCCTTCTTCCCCTTCAGCATTCTACTTAGTTTTGTGTTTCTTCTGACATTCCCAACTCTTTTTTTCCATAGATCAAAGTGGATATAGAAGCAGTCTTAAAAACATTTCCACTTCTTTTGATAAAGAAATATTCTTCGCAACAGATTACATTACTATCCATTACTTTTCTTAATATCTGAACACTTCTCCATCCATTTTGCCATTTTAATGAATATTTCACCTGCAAGACACACAAATTCATCTCCCTTCACCGTTTTTCCATGATTTATGAAAAACGTGCAATGTTTTGCTCCATTTTATCTGTCAAATACAACCATCTTGGCTTGAAAATCTTCACAGGCAGCTTCACCATAAGTAAATCACATCAATATTTTAACATTTTTCATAGTAACATTCAAAACATTTTTTTGACTTATTACTTTCATTCCCTTACAAATCCTTAACATCCTGTTTCACATTTCCCCTTATTTCATTTTCATTCCAAACAATTCCATTAGTTTTAGTCTTAATTCTACTTACTCTGCTGGAGACTCCTTGTTTAGTTCTTTTCACACACTTCAAATCACATTTTCATTTCTTTCAAAATTGCTTTGTATTTTTCTATTATTATATTTTTGGCTTAACAATCATACAAAGCCTATATATCTTGCTCAGTCATGCCCCAATCATGTCCTGTTTGGGCTATTGCAATGCACTCTACATATGACTATCCTTGAAAAGTATCCAGAAATTTCAGCTGCGGCAGAATGCAGCCACATGAGTAATTTTGGATGGCCAAAGACAGGTACATGTAACACTTTTGCTTTGCAAAATACATTGGGTTCCAGTTTGCTTCCAGATCTAATTTAAGGTGTTGGTTGTGATTTATAAATCGTTACATGGCATAAGGCCAGGCTACCTTAAGAACCATCTTCATCCCATTACAAAGATTCTTCCCCACTCAAAAAGGCAGGGAAGGTATGTTGTCAACCCCTTCAGTTAAGAAACTCTGACTGATGGAAACTAGGAAGAGAGCCTTCTCTGCCATTCCCCCACCCCCAACCTGGTTGTATATTCTCCCCATTCTGGAGATTAGGCAGGCCTTCACTCTCCTGGCCTTCTTTTAAAGGAATTAAATCATTGTTCTGTGGCTTCATATGGGGAGCTCAGAGGTGCACATTGAAATGGGGCTGGCTAGTGCCCTGAAAGCCTATCTTCATCTTCTAATTAATTTTAAGTGTTTAGTCATCCTTGCCTTTTAAGTTTTTAACTATTATACTGTTTTTATATTTTAACATTTTATTATACATTGCCCAGAGCCCTTCTTGAAGGAAGATCATTGGCATCCTTCAATCTCAAGAGACTATGGTATCATGCTCTGGAAAGAGGTCCTAAAGCAGCATCTGGTGTGGCTAAAAAGGCCAATTTGGGGGGTGGCAATCCATTACACACTGAGGGCAGATACATTCCGTCCCCCGCCCAGCCCTCAGATTCCGCTGGTTCCGGGACTGCCTCTTTGCCTCAGCCTGCTGAACAAGTGTATCTTTGAATTGGAGAAGGCGATGCTGTGTCTTTAGCCTCCAAACTGAACGATCAGAGGAAGGATCCAAGGAAGATGGGCAATTGAAAAATATGAAAAGTAAATAAATACACATCTACAGATATTCTCAGTCATCTAGGCCATGGTTGTTCCAAACATGTTTTTTCAAGAGGTAAATGAACTTTCCGTTTTTTTCTTTGAAGATGTTTCACTTCTCATCCAAGAAGCTTTGAAGAAGGTTCTAGGATGAGAAGTGAAACGCCTTCAAAGAAAAGCCAGAAAGTCCAGTTGCCACTTGAAAAAGCACCTTTGGGATGGATGGATGGATGGATGGATGGATGGATGGATGGATGGATGGATGGATGGATGGATGGATG